CCCCCCCCCCTCCCAAGGATAACAAATGGTCCACATCTGTATAGAGAACACGCGTGACCTCCTTCTATGTACACACAGAGAACATGACACCACACAGGGTGTCCCCTCCATCATCATACATGGCTGATGGGGAAGAAGAAGGGAGCGGGGTGATGAGCGGACTGACACTGACCTGATCCGGGCCGGCCGGGGGAACACATTCACCATCTCCACACCCACTTCCGGTCAACGCGTCCGCTGTTTGCGTTCCACCTCACTTCCTGTATACACCCTTCGTCACTTCCGGTATCGGATTTCATTCACCGCGCAATCCGAAAGATATCAATAATGTATCATTGGTGATCGTATGCTGGCGGAGGCCTCTGTGTCACGTGATATCACTGTCTGTCCGGATGTGGCTCTCAGCCCCCTACGGGGTCTCCCCTATGGGGGGTGTAGCTGTGCCGAGAGCCGCCAGGTGGCGCTGTCGCTGCTGGCAGGAGGCGTGGAAGGCGGAAGTCACCGGAAGTGTGCCGAACCTGGTGAAACACACGTGAGCCGCACGAAGGCGGAAGCGTCGTGGAACGCAAATTAGCTGAGCCTGCCATGACCCGGAAGTAGAGTGACCCCCCCACTGTCAGTGGCATGGGGCTGCAGGTCAGTGATGCTGGGTGGGCTTGCCAATACAGGACCTCATGGGGGGGGCCCTAACATCTCATCCAGGGGCCCAATTGTTTGCATAGTAGCAGAGTAGTATTATTATTATAATAATAATAGCCAATCAGAGAGAAGCTGGGGAGCCAGCACCTGATTGGCTGGGAGCTTTATCATGGGGAGTCATTTCTATCATATTTACATGTATGTATGATGACCGGTCACTATAATGCTGCGTGCCCGATGGCCGGAGAGATCCCGTGTACACAACATGTATGAGAAGGGTGGAAGGGACCAGTATGACCCCCATTGTTCTGTATTGTCGTCAGGAATACGGCTCTACTCCCAGGCTGCAGGCACACAGAACATAAACATACAGAACAGTCCTAATTACAGGAAGAGAGCCAATCAGGATTCACGTTTTACCCGTCAGCCGTTCACAATCCATATATATAATATCTTCCTGGATCGGTGCCGGATGGAGAAGGACCACAATGACGTCACCTACAGGATACTCAACCTCACCCTGGAGATCATCTACCTGCTGACCGGAGAGGTGAGGGGGATTCTGGGAGGTCACATGACCTGACTGGAGGGGTGAGGAGGATTCTGGGAGGTCACGTAACCTGACCGGAGAGGTGAGGGGGATTCTGGGAGGTCACGTAACCTGACCGGAGGGGTGTGGAGGATTCTGGGAGGTCACGTAACCTGACCGGAGAGGTGAGGGGCATTCTGGGAGGTTACGTGACCTGACCGGAGGGGTGTGGAGGATTCTGGGAGGTCACGTGACCTGACCGGAGGGGTGAGGAGGATTCTGGGAGGTCACATGACCTGACCGGAGAGGTGAGGAGGATTCTGGGAGGTCACGTGACCTGACCGGAGAGGTGAGGGGGATTCTGGGAGGTCACGTGACCTGACCGGAGAGGTGAGGGGGATTCTGGGAGGTCACGTGACCTGACCGGAGGGGTGAGGAGGATTCTGGGAGGTCACATGACCTAATCAGAGGGGTGAGGGGGATTCTGGGAGGTCACATGATATCTGACCGGAGAGGTGAGGGGGATTCTGGGAGGTCACATGATATCTGACCGGAGAGGTGAGGAGGATTCTGGGAGGTCACATGACATTTATCGTTACTATTTTCATACAGAGATTTCCTCCTGTAAAGTCCGGTGACCGTCTCACCATCGCGGTTCCTCCACCTCAGTCCCTGAGACCCGGCGAGGGCGACCATGACCAGAAGATGACGGAGCTGCTGACGGGAGAGGTGAGAGGTACCGGGGATTCTGGGACATGATCCAGGAACAGACAAGGGGCGTGTCTGGGTGGTGACGGGAGAGGTGAGCGGTGCCGGGGATTCTGGGACATGATCCAGGAACAGACAAGGGGCGTGTCTGGGTGGTGACGGGAGAGGTGAGAGGTGCCGGGGATTCTGGGACATGATCCAGGAACAGACAAGGGGCGTGTCTGGGTGGTGACGGGAGAGGTGAGCGGTGCCGGGGATTCTGGGACATGATCCAGGAACAGACAAGGGGCGTGTCTGGGTGGTGACGGGAGAGGTGAGCGGTGCCGGGGATTCTGGGACATGATCCAGGAACAGACAAGGGGCGTGTCTGGGTGGTGACGGTATCATTGTGTGTGTCAGGTTCCTATAAGGTGTCAGGATGTCTCTGTCTATCTCTCCATGGAGGAGTGGGAGTATCTAGAAGGACACCGGGATCTCTACAAGGACGTGGTGATGGAGAATGCCCCGCCCCTCACATCACCGGGTAAGTACGGAGGCTCCGCCTACATCCCCCATCATCTGATACACACATAGAAACAATGTATTCAGTCAGTGTGTGTGTTTCCTACAGATGGATCCAGTAAGAGGAACCCACCAGAGAGATGTCCCCGCCCCCTGTATTCCCGGGACTCCACCCAGGAAGATCTCACCATCCCCCACCATGAGAGATGTCCCCGCCCCCTGTATTCCTGGGACTCCACCCTGGAAGATCTCACCATCCCCCACCATGAGAGATGTCCCCGCCCCCTGTATTCCCGGGACTCCACCCTGGAAGATCTCACCATCCCCCACCAGGATCAGGTAGATGGGACTAGAGGACACCGGTATCTGTACATGGACGTCGGGATGGAGGACCACCAGACACTCCCTGCTCCGGGTAAGAGGTTAGGTGTATTGCTTGGGTTCAGCAAGTGTGATGGGTGACCAGTGGAGGATGGGGGACCTTATCTTTCCTTGATAGGTGACCAGTGGAGGATGGAGGACCAGTGGAGGATGGAGGACCTTATCTTGTATTGATGGGTGACCAGTGGAGGATGGGGGACCAGTGGAGGATGGAGGACCTTATCTTGCATTGATGGGTGACCAGTGGAGGATGGAGGACCCCATCTTATATTGATGGGTGACCAGTGGAGGATGGGGGACCCCATCTTATATTGATGGGGGACCAGTGGAGGATGGGTGACCGGTGGAGGATGGAGGACCTCACCTTATATTGATGGGTGACCAGTGGAGGATGGAGGACCTCACCTTATATTGATGGGTGACCAGTGGAGGATGGAGGACCTTATCTTATATTGATGACCGCGGTTTTGGAGATGTTCCTCAGGGTCTTAGACGTGTGGTGGTCAGGTGGTCATGCCGAGTGTAGAACGACGCATGAGGGGAATATGAAGGCCTCGGTTCTTCTTTGTTGGTGACCCCGTCATATATTCATGTTTTATTTTCCACCAATAGATGCGTCCGCTCGGGGCAAAGCTGCGGAGGAGGAGTCGGCACGGAGGACCGGCGAGGATCTCCCGGAGGACTCCATCTCCAGTGAAGAAGGGATTTTCACCGACAGAGAGAATGACGCACCCCGGGACTGCGCGCGGCACACGTGTCCCCTCGTCACGGGGGACTCCACTTCCTGTGACGGAGAAAGCATCCGACAAGAAGACATCTCACCCCCAACTCTTCACAAGCAGACCGGTCAGGTGAGGTCAGAAGTCCTCCCACATACGGACCCTTTGAGGCCCGCAGACCACACGCAGGTCACGTCTGGTCTCGGGAAGGTGGAGGCCAGCTCATACAAAGACTTGGACAATGGGTCGTCTATGGACAGGAGGCCTCATGCAGTCACCCGTATTAAGGAGGAACCCCTCTCAGAGGATGAAGAACATGTCTCGGAGGCTGACATGTTGGCCCCCATGGAGTGTTCTCAGCGCACACGTGTGAAGGACGAGCCCGTGTCTTGGTGTGAAGGGGATTGTGAACATGCGGGACTCTACACGCACCATGGACGGTCCATCCTGGCTCATGTCAAGGCGGAGTCCTCCTCCGGGATGGGCACGCCGAGGCGGTGGCCTTGCTTGGAATGTGGGAAGACGTTGTCCAGCAGATCCAATCTCTTCGTCCACCAAAGGTCGCACGCTCGGAAGAAGCCGTTCACCTGCGCGGAGTGTGGAAAAGGTTTCTCCAGCCGCGGTTACCTGGTCATACACCGGCGGAACCACACGGGGGAGCGGCCCTTCGCCTGCTCGGAGTGCAGGGAGAGCTACGCGGCCAGGTCCCAGCTGCTGCGCCACCAGACCAAACTGCATGTTGTAACCATGACCTCAGGGGACTGGCTGTTGTAACCATGACCCGGGGGGGACTTTGTACGCTGTTGGTGATATTTATGATCATTTTACTCTATTTGGCGTTGGATAATAAAACAGATAGAACTCTTATCTCTGAGTGTTTGTCTGACGGGAAGATCTTCATATGAAGGACCGGACCGCACATACAGTCCGCGAGCGGCCCCTCAGCAAGTACCGGAGCCGAGGTAAAGATAGGAAGTCTGACACATGTAACACAAAGAGAACCTGTCCACTGTATAAACTTGTATGACTGGGTGATAAGAGGAAGCACAAGGGGTCCGTCACTGGACACGTGACCCTTTACACGGGCAGTCAATGGAGACGTGACCCTTTACACGGGTAGTCAATGGAGACGTGACCCTTTACACGGGTAGTCAATGGAGACGTGACCCTTTACATGGGTAATCAATGGAGACGTGACCCTTTACATGGGTAATCAATGGAGACGTGACCCTTTACATGGGTAATCAATGGAGACGTGACCCTTTACATGGGTAGCCAGTGGAGACGTGACCCTTTACACGGGTAGCCAGTGGAGACGTGACCCTTTACACGGGTAGTCAGTGGAGACGTGACCCTTTACACGGGTAGTCAGTGGACATGTGACCCTTTACACGGGCAGTCAATGGAGACGTGACCCTTTACACGGGTAGTCAATGGAGACGTGACCCTTTACGCGGGTAGTCAATGGACACGTGACCCTTTACACGGGTAGTCAGTGGAGACGTGACCCTTTACACGCGTAGTCATTGGAGACGTGACCCTTTACACGGGTAGGCATTGGAGACGTGACACTTTATACGGGTAGTCAATGGAGACGTGACCCTTTACACGGGTAGTCAATGGAGACGTGACCCTTTACATGGGTAATCAATGGAGACGTGACCCTTTACACGGGTAATCAATGGAGACGTGACCCTTTACACGGGTAGTCAATGGAGACGTGACCCTTTACACGGGTAATCAATGGAGACGTGACCCTTTACA